TCTTTCCCTGGAGAGGAAGAATTATCAATCTAGGTGAAAAATACACCAGAAAAGGTACCGGTAGGTTTGAGTAATCAGAGATAATGCTGCCTTTTAATAATTGTGCACCGTTGAGCATACTCTTTCTTCTCAGCCAACATGATGGTTTTAATACCCACCCTGTCATAGCATTAGGGTAAGTGTGATGGTTTTCATAGGAAAAATGAATAAACACTCTACAGGAATTCCTATTACATAAACTGTTTGCATCTATATTTAAATTCAGTGTTAAACTGAAAAGATTTATTTCAAATTCAAGACTGAATTTGTCTAGACATTAGTAGTATATAGCAAATTTAATAATGGGAATCCTGTCATATTTTGACTCTCAACTTCATTCTTTTTAGATCATTTGGACCAAAGTATTCCTGGCATAAAGAGCAATTTGTATAAATTTTAAAAGTTCATATTTCACAAACCTTATATTTTGCTCAAATCTCAGCATTTTGGCTCAGTGTTTTCTTTAATCAGTGAATAGGATCCTAAGCTTACAAATTATTATTTTTAACAATAAATGTATAAGTGCATTAAATCTCTTAAATTCATGGTATTTATTGTCTTTTTCTGTCAATCCCTTTAGTCCTTTACTGTTGCTCATGTGTTACTTAATAAGTGCCCCAGTTTGCTTACTTTATATTTGTACTACTTGAAGGGTTTATTTGTTCTCTTTTAATAGGAGGTACACTTAATGAAATCTGCAAACTCGCAAACAAGTTTCATAGTGTAATTCCTGTGAGATCTGGCCCTGAAGACCTAGAAGTCCTTGACCTTTCAGCACCATTCCTTATACAAGGAAAAATACATCACTATGGGTATGTTTTCAATAATGGGAATTCGGGGAATTTTTAATTTTATTTATTATTTTATTCCACTTGTTACTATATATTCAGCGGATACTTATTTAGTAGCAATTTATAGGTACTAGATTTTTTGGTATATATCTATTCTTTGGATACCATATATATTGAGTGCCTACAGTATGCTAAGTTTAAGGCTGTCCCAAAGGCTAATATTCATTTGCTTTGTTTCATAACAATTTAGATATTAGTTACAGAGAAAGTTCAGAGCTGTATCCTAGTAAAAGTTAAGTGATTGAATTCCAGAATTTCTGTGCCACAAAGTTATAATGAGTTTCCACTGAGAAACTGGAAGATATCAGAATACATTAGGAGCTAGAAACAGAAGTCTAGGTTTGGAAGGAGGCAATATAGACAGAATCTCTGTTTCCACTTGATGAAACAATCACCCTGGAAGTGCTCTGCTTTGAGAAACCTTGGATTATAGAATATTTTCTGCTTTATTGGAAAATACCAAATTGTTTTTCTAATGATTGTAACATTTTATGGTCCAATCAGCAGTGTGTAAAAATTTGTTTACCCCGGGCTCTCTTCCACGGTTAGCTCTTGGTATTAGTCTAACTTGTAATTTTGTTAGACTGATGAGCATCAAATAGTATCTATGTTGTTTTTGTTTGCATTTCCTAGATGACTAGGGAGTTTAAACAAGTCTCATGTTTATTGGCTATTTAGGTTTTCTCTTCTGTGAATTCCATATTCACATTTTCTATTCAATTACTGGTCTCTGTTTTGGTTCTTGTGTGTTTAGATGATTGTAAAAATTCTTTCTATATGAGAGACACTAAACATTTGTCAGTTATGTGCATTTCTTCAAACTTCTGGTATGTCCTGTACTTTTTAACTCTATGCTTCCTTTTGTTTTACAGATTTTTCAAATATTAATATAGTCATATTTACCAAAATGTTTGACAAGACAGTTTTTGTAAAACTTTACTTAGATTTCTGGATCTGATGCTTTTTTTTTTTTTTTAAGTTACACATCTTTTAAGGATTTCTGTTTCTTCTTGAATCTATTTTATTAATGAACGTTTTCTAGAGAAGTATTTCATTTATCTTTAAAATTTAAATTTATTGAGCTAAAATAATTGATAGTACTTTCTGATGATTTTTAAATCTCCTCTTCATCTGTTCATATTATTTGCTCCTTTTTTTCCCTTGAACTTTTTTGCCAAAGCAACTAGCTTTTGTTTTTGTTGATACTCTATTTTTTTTATTATTGTTCTTAACTTTATTATCTTCCTTTACTTTCTATAGGTTTCCTTGGTATTTCTTTTTTGTAATGTTTTTAATTGAATGCTTACCTCACTTAATTCATTATTTTTAATATGTTTTTAAATATTTGTATTTAAGTCTGTAATATACCTCCTGAGAAAATAGCCATAGCTTTAACTGAAGATTTGATACGTAGTGTTTTTCTTGTCACTTCTAAATGTTTTGCAATTCCTATTATGATTTCTTTGGCCCATGAATTATTTCACTGTGTATTTTAAATTTTTCCACAGACTTATTTTAGGTACTATGTTTTTGTTTGTATTTTAGTTAGATTACTTTTTAACCAAGTAGCGTGATGCATTTCATGATGATTCTTTGAGATTTGTTTAGTTTTGCTTTATCCTAGAATGTGTTAGTTCGTAATTGGTACATATTACATATATTTTAAAAAGAATGTGTATTCTTTAACAGTTGTGTTTAGTGTTTAATAGTGTTTAGTTATGTCCATTAGGCAAGCTTGGTAATCGTATCCAAAACTTATCTTTCCTTTGTAACTTTATCTGTCTAATCACTTCTTAGAGACTGTGCTTAACGTCCTCTGTGATTGTAGGTTTGTGAACTGTTATTCTGTCAATGTGTGTTTTATATGTTTTGAGTCCTTTTTGCTTGCTCATTCAGGTTCGGTATTTCATCTTCTGGTGAATTCATTGTACTGTATATCCTTATGTAATGACTTCATCTTTAATCGTGATTTTTTGCTGTAAGGTTTATTTTTTTCTCGTTTTCTTATTACTATATCAGAGGGTTTTTTTGGTTGGTAATTGCATGGTGTATCTTATTCTCATCCCATTGCTTTTATGTTTCTTTGTTGTTATATTTTAGTAGGTCTCATAAATAAATACTTATCAGTAGGTTTTAGTTGTTTTTTAATAGATGAGTTTAAAATATGTTAACTACTGAAACATTTAGGTTTTATTTCTATACTGTATTTCTTGTTGTTTTCCACTTATCATGCTATTATTGTTTCTCTTCCCACCCTTTTTTTTCTTATTACTTTATTTTTTTTTCCAGTCTTCTATTGGATTAATGTATAAAAATGTTCTCATTTTTCTCCTTTTTCCTCTTTTTTTACTTCGGAAGTAATGCATTCTCTAATTTATGCTTATTACTCTTTTTTTTTTTTTTAATAAATTTATTTATTTATTTATTTGGCTGTGTTGGGTCTTCATTTCTGTGTGAGGGCTTTCTCTAGTTGCAGTGAGCAGGGGCCACTCTTCATCGCGGTGTGCGGGCCTCTCACTGTCACGGCCTCTCTTGTTGCGGAGCACAGGCTCCAGATGTGCAGGCTCAGTAGCTGTGGCTCACGGGCCCAGTTGCTCCGCAGCATGTGGGATCTTCCCAGACCAGGGCTCGAACCTGTGTCCCCTGCATTGGCAGGCAGATTCTCAACCACTGCACCACCAGGGAAGCCCTATGCTTATTACTCTTAATTTTTAATTTGTATACTTGCTTTCTCAATGTCTAAAGTTTAATATCACAGCCTTTTTTTTTTTTAAGAAACTAATACTCATCATTCAATTACCTTTTTCTGTTAAAGAAAAAACTTCTATGTATTTAAAGAGTGGAAGGGGATAACATTTAATATAGTTAGCCTCTGTTTTCCCCCAGATTGCAAATGAAAAGGAATCTGCATGAACCTTTTGAATGTTGATTTTTATATTTTTATCCAAGCATATTTTCTCATCAGCATCTCCTAAACATTAATACATATAGTAAAAACTAAATTGCTTATACTTAAAATGTTTGTATGTAAGTAAAGCAAAATACCTGTACTAGATAATATGCAATTTTAGTGTATTATGTAATTTTAGCTTGATTTGTATACAAAGGATAACTATAGTACTAGGCATCATAAACTATGATCCTCTAAATATGTGCTAGTACTGACTTCCTTAGAATAATTTTCTCCTGTTGCTATATTTATAAAATTAAGACCTTGGCTATTCCATATTGTGCACAGAGCCATAAAATGAAAGAGTCCTTAGAGTTTGTCTCTTTAGACTTTTTGTTTTACCAGATAAGGAAATTAGCCAAATTAATTAACAGTCTGCACCTGGAACCTCTCTCGTTGTCAACTTATAGTTGTTTATTCTGAACTGTACTATCTTTTTAGATTGCTTCTATTGTAAGAAGCTTATTTTTTTTAGTAATTTTGTTTGTAATATGCACATTACAGTACAGGAAGTGCAGTGCTCTTTTGTTTAATAATATACTTTTTAAACTGCATGCTTGAATGGCAAAAATGTTATAATAATTAAATGAGTTGTAATAATTACTTATAATAAATCATTTTTTTCTTTTATTAATTTAGGTGTAAACAGTGTTCTAGTTTGAGACCAATACAGAATCTGAATTCCCTGGTTGATAAAACATCGTGGATTCCTTCTTCTGTGGCAGAAGGTAAGCTAAGTTTCTGTGTCCTGTCATTGTAACTGTCTTTGTATAAGGTGATCTCACTGGGAATATTTCAATATTTGTGGATATTGTAAAACCAGAGCAAAGGCTGAACTTAAGTTTAATTGTCCTTAAGTATAACCATTCACAGTGGTCATAATAAAAGTATAAATGTTTAAAATAATTGTAAACTTACTTTCAAGCATCTGCCAATGTTTTTCAATTATTACATTTTAATAATTTAGTAATCATAAATACAACTTGTGAAAAATCTCTCCAGCTTATAGTATCTTGGGATTGAAAAGGGTTGTAGAGATAGCTATTACAACTTTTTACCCAATACAAGTCTTTAGCGGGAGCAACAGGAATCTTTTTACATCACGTTATTAACTGTGGTCATCCAGCCTTGGCTTAAAATTCTTCAGTGACTGGGGACTCGTTACATTGCAAGGTAACATATCTTACTTTTTAGGTGCAGTACTTAACAGTGAGGCAAAATCTGCTTACCTATAATTTTAACATGGGCCACATTCTGTGTACTAGAATTAAAGTACATCTGTTCCCTCTTGTATAAAATCAACAAACTGTACATTTGAAGATAATCTGTCAAGTTTTCATTGAGTCTTTATTTCTCCAAGCAGGTACCCTCACTTCCTTTGGTACTTTCCCACATTCCTTACTATTTTATTTCTCCTCTTCAGTAAACATTCCATTTTACTAATGCTCTTCTCAAAGTTTGGTCCTCAAAGCTAGAAATAGAGCTGCAGGTGTTGGCCAATTCAGAATATGAAGAAAACCTTTATTTACCTAAGATTGGATACTGCTCCTACTTGCCTGAAAATTTTATTCTGTAGATATTTATTTGTATACTTGGTTTTATTTTCTTTCTCTTTTAATCCAGCTATATAATACTGCTAACTCATATTTTGTTTGTGGTCCAGTGAAATTCCAGGTTACTTTTGCATGAGCTTCTTACTATGTGCTTCAAGCTTGGTCTCCTCATCCTGTACTGAATGTAGTTTTTTGTTTGCTTATATGGTCCCTCGGGGTAGGTTTTATGTTCATCCTTCTTGGTTTTAGCTCACAGTTTATGCCTATCGAGAACTTCTGAATCTTAAAAATCAATTCCTCTGTATTAGCATTTTCTCTCATGTCTGTATGCCCTAATTTATTTGTTTTACTTGCTCCCTTTATTACTGAATATGGATTCCACAAATGGAAGACAATATTCCATTATATAAGCATATTGAATGTCTTCCATTTCCAGACACAAAGTAAGATGTTCATTTTAACCTATAAATTTTCATGATTTAGCGTCTCTTTAATTTCTTCCTTTTTCCTCATCTTAGCAAATTATGAAATCTCAGATTCTCACATCATCCAACCAGATGAAATCTCTTAAAAAATAATCGATCCCTATGCTTAAAATACAAAGGAGAGAGACATGTTAAAAAATCCTAACTATTGAACTGTATGCTGTTTCTGAATTGCCTTTCATGAATTGGTTTTTATGTTTTTTTATCAAGATCAACTTATTTTAAAGATAATGCTCTATTAATATTTAATTTTAAAAAGATACTATTGCTCATGAGTCATTATCCCTACACAGGTGTAGTGTAATGTTCCAAAATTACCCTTCTAAAATGAGCTTAATATATTGGTATTAGAGAACAGAAAGGGATAAGTTTTTTTAATCTCTTGAGTTATTTTAGTAAACAAGACTAACAGGTATCTAATATCATAAAACAATTTTTTCTTTACTTTGATTAAGGCATAGGAGATTCATATGGTTTCAACTTTTTTCCTTCATTAGTACTGGGTATTGTACCTCTCCAACATGTGTTTGTGATGACATTTACTCTTGACGATGGAACAGGAGTATTGGAAGCTTACCTCATGGATTCTGTAAGTAATAGAGGTAGTGAAGATACTTCTAATTAAAAAATAGTACTTTTTAAAATTTTAATATATTTATTCATGCATACTCTGTTACTGAGGAGATTTAAGGCAACTCTGAAGAATAAATAAAAGACAAGCACATAAATCTTAAATTGTCTATGTATTTATCTCTCTTTTGATTTGACACTGTAAATCTTAATATGTGAATAATGAAAAATTGAGGAAGTTCTATTCCAGGAGCCAAAGGCAGAGGTATGGCCACACCCTCAGGCATTATCTATTAGCATTTCACTGGGCTTTTAAAGCCTCCACATTTCATATTAGAGAGAATGAAAGTACTTTGATAGGGAGATAGTTATGTGTGAAGCTAGGTAGCTGTCCACAAGACCACCTTCATTTCTGACAGTACCAGTTTGGAGGTTCCCAAGACCACCCTTACTTCTGGCACCAGTTGAAAGTTCAGAGGTCCCCAAGAGCACCCTTAGTTTTGATAATTCGCTAGAAGGACTCACAGAACTTATTGAAAGCTATTATGCTCACTGTTAACAATTTATTACAGCTAAAGGATATAGGTTAAAATCCTCAAGGGAAGAGGTGCACAGGGCAGAGTCCAGGAAAGTTTCTTACATGGAGCTTCCGTTCTCTTCCCATGGAGTAGTGGACAGTGTTACTTTCCTGGAAATGATATGTAACAGTACACGTGAGGTATTGCCAACCAGGGAAGCGCAATTGAGCCTTAGTGTCCAGAGTTTTTTTTGGAGCTTCATCATGTAGTCATGGTTGGCTGCCCATGTGACTGATCTCAATCTTCAGCCCCTCCAGTGGTCAAGTTAAAACCACATGCTCCAAACTCCCCACCCTAAATCACAGTGTTAGAGTGACCCAGGGTCTCCAGGCAAAAAAGAATACTCCTATGAGGCATGACATTCCAAGGGCTTAGATTACCTCTCAGAAACCAAGGGCAAAGGCCAATGAGGTTAAATTTTTTACTACACACATTGGGAAAAATCTGGGGTAAGGTTGAGGACAGTTTTTCTCCTGCCTAAATAAATTATTTATCCATTTATTAAATAAGTATTTAATGAGCACTTACTATATGCCAAGTGCTACTCTTTGTGATGGGGATATAGCAATGAGTGAAACAGGCAAACTCCTTTCCCTCCTGGAACTTATAAATAGGAGAGGAGAAAAAAAAAATTAAACAAATAAATATATACTATATATTAAACTCTTTTAAACTTAACACTTAGACATTGTAGGTGCTCAATACATATGCTATCAAGAGAATAGTAAGCCTCACTGTATTCTAATCATTCTTATCATTAAGTCAGAGAGGTTTAACTTGATTTTATATATATGTATCATAGCTGTATTTAGATTAAAGTAGTAAATCAGATTTTAGAGTTTAGACTAGCACTCTAGTTTATAAATTCTATGATATTGATATGGTGAAATAGTCTAGATTATTTTAATTAGATAATATTCAAATAATTTTGTATTAATTATAGCTTCACATTTTTCTTAAGGAAAAATTTTTCCAGATTCCAGCGTCAGAAGTCCTAATCAATGATGGCCTTCAGCAAAGTATGGATATGATCATGGATATGTTTTGTCCTCCAGGAGTAAAAATTGGTAGGCAGTAATATTTAACAATCCATTCATTCTTTTCCTTGAAATAATACCTAGCATATGGCTAAGCTATGGACTTTTAGAGGTATTAAAACCTTTGAAATCTGAATCCAAATAAATTACTAAGTAGTGATTGTTTATACTGTATGATCTTCCTATTGATGAAGATAGTGGCAGGGATAAAATAGGTATGAATCATAATTCCTGAAATGAAAAAAGTTTTTTAAAATAGTTTGAAATATTGATATAACAAGGGGGAGGCAATTTTGATCACAAGCACATTTGATATGATGCTTATGCATACAAACAGTTGAAATTAAACCAACAGGGATGAAATTTTGACAAGAAACATTTCCTATAACAAACTCATTTAGCCTGTTTAATTCATTGATGAATTGTCTATTCAATATTAACTAGTTTCAGATTTTACAAGTTTTTATTTTACTAAATAAACAGCTTTAGTTGTTTCCTGTGTAACATTTGATTGATCAACCAGTCTTAAGGTCAAATTGTATTGATTACACCTACTGCCACTGATTTTTCCTTTCGTGGCCATTATTTCTCTTTGCATTGAAACTTGTGGATCTAAGTCATTTTAAGACAACTTGACTTCTAACAATTTTTCATCAGTAACAAATTTTACCACCTGCAGATCTAGCTTTTGTCAGTTTAACGTTTATAGGTTATTTTAAGTCAGGTATTATTTTCCCCTGGTCAGTCTTTGCATTTTATAACAATTCCAAAAAGATAGTTTTTGTACATCCATAACTAAGTCTAACCTACATACTTTTATTTGATGTCAGCTTTTATTTTTGTTGGCTGCTTGGATTCTTTTGGATAAATTTCTGCAAATAAAACTGCCATATCGGGGCTTCCCTGGTGGTGCAGTGGTTGAGAGTCCGCCTGCCAATGCAGGGGACACGGGTTCGTGCCCCGGTCCGGGAAGATCCTACATGCCGTGGAGCGGCTGGGCCCCTGAGCCATGGCCGCTGAGCCTGCGCGTCGGAGCCTGTGCTCCGCAATGGGAGAGGCCACAACAGGGAGAGGCCCGCATACCGCAAAAAAAAAAACAAAAAACCTGCCATATCAAAAAGCATAGGCCTGATAGGCTTTTGATACATACTGCCAGATTGCTTTTCAAGAGCGTTTTACCTATTTATGGTTCTACCAGCAGTGTAGGAGAGTGCCCGTCTTGCTTGACCCTTGCCAATAGTGAGGACTATATTAAATGTCTTTCAAATTTAAACTTCAAGAAATATTAACAGACTGTTCTAGAAGTTATAAACAGATTTACTGTGGTCATGACCAAAGCTTGGGATATGGCTGCCAACATTGCCTGGACACGACACCTGGTACCTGACGGGAATTTCAACTAGACAGATGTAAGGGCGAGCTGGTTTCTTTGCAGTCAACCAAGAAAAACAAAACGGGCAGATCAGTAAGTGATAAGCAGAAAAAAAAAGAATAAAAGTTGGGAATGACGTAGATTACTACCTTTGCTATCAAATATTTTGAAAAACCCCACATTTAATGACTTTTTCCTGTTGTTGGGAAAAAATTCAAATTAGTCAGAATTGCTACAAAACAATAACATGAAACCAGTGTGTATTTGGAAGAGCAGATAATGGTAAATGTGGTTAGTGTATTTATTTACTTTTCAAGCTGAATTAAATATGTTAATTTTACTAGCTAAGCATTATGCTTAGATACATATTTCAGAGTTATCTGTTTAGTTTTAATGGTTAAATAGCATTTCTTTTTTTGATTTGTAGATGCATATCCATGGTTGGAATGCTTCATCAAGTCATATAATGTCACAAGTGGAGCGGAGCAGCAAATTTGCTATCAGATTTTTGACACCACAGTTGCAGAAGATCTTATCTAATTTTGACATTCAACTTAGCATAGGTAAAATGCTATAATTTTGGAAAACATTACTATTTTCTATGCGACTGCTATAAAAGACATAAGAGATGTTAGCGCTGTAGTTTATTTTCCATTTTAGCCAGTATTTAAAATTTTTTTGACAAATAGACATTGTGTTATCTTAATGCCCTCTTATAAGTTAAAAATGTTCCTGTTGCTCAAGATATTCAGTGTGGTGGCTGTGAGGGATATAAAAGAGAGGCATCGAATAGATAAGGACTGTGTTTGCATTTCCTCTTTGCTCCCCTCCTTTCGGGGACGCTGTTTTGTTACCCTCCCCTAAAAATCACTCTCCCCATTGGTTTTTCCATGTGTCAGCCACTGATCTCTCTGCCATCCATCATGCCTGGTTGAGCTGCTTTTTCTGCCCTGATTTTTATATCAGCAGTTTGGATGATTTTAGCATGTATATGGGATTAGGAAATGTCCTTACCTTGAATCTTCCACTCTTACTGAGCGCAAGGATTTGATCTGTTTTGTTTTTATGCAAAGGGATCTGTGAACAAGTACTCCCTGAAGAAGTGCTTGTCTGAGTGAGCTACAGTGTGCTTGAAAAGAGTGATCTGCTTTAAGTGGAAGTAGCAGAATTGCTTTCTTTGGGTGCTGACTTTGACCAACTGAGGATAAATCCATTTTTTCAGACCTGAATTATGTGCTTTGATTGCTTGTTTCTCTACATGATATTAGAAGTTATTCCATTCCTCCTCAACCTAATCAAGTGGTCAGATCTGCAATGTTAGCGACTTACGTATGTTACCCTTTTTGTAAGGGTCTTATGTAAAATATACTTAAATTTCAGGTTGAACATTGAATGAGAAATTAACTCAGTATGATAGTCTGCTTTTTACCTGATGATATTTGTCAAATTTAAAATCATGAATATTCAGTTTTATACAAATGCTTCTGTATATTTATATATATGTAAGGATTTATGTATGTTATTTGCTGAAGACTGAGAGATACAGATCTGCCTAGTTCAATATTAGTGAAGAATAAATAAATGTACACATTTCAGCTGTTTCGTTTATTTGCCCTGTGTTGAGCTGAGGCATGATTTGAGGTGAAGAATCAAAGCAAGTGTGTCAATATAGCAGATATTTAGGACTGTCTACACACCAGGTACCACACTAAGTAAGCCCTTAACATGTATTTTAGTTTCAAAACAACCCATCTTCCTGATAAGAAAACTAAGGTTTCACTGATAAGCTGACTTGACCAAATGCATACAATTATTAAATGCCAGTCAGCACTTGAATTCAGGTAGTCTCTGCTCAGGGGCTGCACTGTTAGCCACTTCAGACCTCTGGAGCAAAAGCTGGTATGGGGTTTTCTGCAAGTGAGTTCTCCCTTAAATATCTGAAGTAATATCGCAGATAGAACCAAAAGGCTTTTCACACCTTATTGGCCAAAAGGATTGAATATCTGATTTTCTCTGCTCCTAATAATTCTAAATTCGAATTCCTGAGTATATTAGCACATCTCCAGACCTAACTACCCATCTGCCCCATCGCTGAATTATCAGCTTGTTCAAGACAATGAAAGAGACCGATGCTGCTGTTTTGGAGATGTACACTCTTGGTTCAAAACATATTCAAGGAAAAACTTCTAAGAAATGTTTTAAGAAAATTTTGGTATTGGTGGTATGCTAGGGACACAAAAGTGAGAGAGGCATTTTCTCTTCCTTCGGGAAGCACCCAGTCTAGGAGAGTAAGGGTCAGAGGTGCAGGGAGTGCCACACGTGTCAGCCTGTGCTGTCTGCCAGTTAATGAAGTAAAACTATGAATTTTCACGATTTCTCTTTACCTTTTGTTTTGTTTAGTAAACCCCTACATTGTCATCATTTTTGTTTTTGTTTTTAACTTTTCAGTTTTGAACAAGAAGCGTTTGTCAACCCCTAGTGTTTATCCAGTGGTGATGTATGTGCCTTACCCTAATCGGGAACCCAAGTGTAAGGGGATTTCCATTTCTGGAGTAACAACTAGATGATAGTTCATTGTGCCCAATTTTGAGCCCTGTCCCCTTTGTAGTCTGTGAATATTGGTAGAATCTTCCTGTCAGATTTTAAATTACACAAATTTAAGAATGTAGTATGCGTACAGCCTCTTCCTCAGTCTCCAGTCTCCGCAGCATCCATTGTTTCAGACGCTACTGGATTCTCTTGAGGCCCCCATGCTGTTCTGTATGAGGAAGAGAGTGCATGTCTTAGAAAATCTGAGGCAGCCGATTCCTCTTTATCTAGATGTGATAATGAAAAGTGCTCACAGGCTCTTTCTGTGGCCACCTCATACTGCTTTATTTGAGGGAACTATACCTGCTGAGAAGGAGTGCATCATTCCCCATTTCGTTTTACCCTGGTCATGTTGCACATTGGGTGTTGTTTCTAAATAAATAGAGAAAGGCTGGTGTTGATGGAACAGAAGGAGCTGAATACATCTTTGACTACCTGGGAAAGCAGTCTCCACACAATACTGGCTGCCCGCTTTTCAAATCTGTAGATCCTGTACCCAAGCTACTTGCACACACAGGAATGGGCCAAAATCTTTCTCCTGCCTGTTCCCCAGCTGACTGTTCTTTTGTTTCTGAAGTCAAAGCACGCATTTGTCACTAATTGTGACTCTCAATCCAGCCAATCTCTTCTATACTCTGTGGAGGCTTTCATTGGTATCTGGGGAAAATGCTACATTCTTCTGATTATTTTCAGTACTTTGAATTTTGACCATGCATTTCATCAAGTTTTGTTTTCATCTAGAATTTTTTTTTTAATGAAAGTGATATGTACTTGTAAGAATTTGAAACAGCATAAAGTATGTAAGGTTGAACTAATTCGTGCTTTAACTAGTACCCCAGAGGAAACCACTTTTAACAATTTGGTGTATAATTTTCCAGACTGTTTTCCCGGAGAACATGTGAGTATGTGTATATATACATTTTTTTAAATAGCATTATGCTATGAATATATTTTGCAACTTGCCTCTGTCACTTTGTAGAGTGGATTTTGGTTTTTTATGTCAGTACACATAGAGAAACTTGTTTATAATCATTCAGCATAAGTCACTTTTTAGTGGGGAATTCTCCGATCATTTCACTTTCTATTTTTGTAGTGGTTTGGGGTCTAAGTGTTCTTCTTATGCCAATTTTGGAATTTTATATTTTTATACAATGTATTCTGTTGTTGACTTTCTTACCTTATAGTTATTCATAATATTATTTTTATTACCCAGTTTGTATTTTATCTGGTGTATTTTCCCTTTAAATAAATCTGGAGCCCCTGGGACCTGGTTTCACTATATCTCCTGGAGTTTTTCAAGTGATCGGAATTTTGAAAGTCTGTCCAGACTTCCTAATACAGGTTAGGATGCTGCCATGACATAGCTGTCTTGAAATATTCTTTTATGCTTTAAAGAACTCATTGTGAAAAGAATTTTGTTAATATAAAAAAGGAAAACGCCTCCTGTAGTGCTTTTCATTAGGAAATTCAGGTTCTATGAATGATACGATGAGTCACACTCAAGTTCTAGAACATCATTTTAGGTGAAATAAAAAAATGTCTTCCTCTGCTGGTCCCTCAGTGTCTCTGGATAGTGACAAAGCCTCCCACCCACTCTAGAAAGAGGGGGAACTAGACAGCTTGTAAAATCTGGGCAGAGTGATCTTTCTTCTCTTCCCTCGGGTACTTGGAAATAGTATCGGAAGTCACCAGCGTGCTCAGGTATGTGAGATCATTATCTTTTGGCAGAGTCAGGAAATGAATCAGTAGCCCTATGTATTATTTTTCCCTGCAGTGTTGTGATTTAAGCTGTTAGAAAGTTTGAGATCACTTAGGGTTTCAAAGCGATGATCATCTTACATGGAGATTAATGGCCCTTCCATTCAGGGCTGCATTTGACGGGTAGAGAACTATTAGGCATCAATTACAATGATAAGGATAATGCATCAATGTCCTGATGCTCCTTCAGATGTGCTGATTGGTGAAACATGGATAGTTCAGAGGCTCCTCTGCTATTTTTAGACCATAACGACATCCTGATGAATGTCTATTTTTTTCCCCTTGAAATCTAGGCCACAAAGTTGCATTTGTATTTATGTGCGTGTGTGTGTGCGCGCGCGTTTGTGCTCTGCTTTGAGTTCACTTTGCAGGGCACTACGTTGGAATTTACTTGACAACCTCGACCACAACTGCCAAAGAAAGACATTTTCAACTTGTGTGAAAGTTACTTTTGTTTCATCTATTCACAGTACTTTGAAGATGTGGAGCATGTGTTTATTGAAGCCTTATCTCTATTAATAAAATATTCCATCAAATGTTGTTGCAGTTTCTAAACAGGTACCTTTTCATATACAACCCTGAAGCCCTGGTATATACCTTTATTATTTTTTTTCCTGTACCTTCAGAATGATTTTTCCCTTCTGTGAAATATGAACTCCCAGATAAAAGCCAATTTGTCTTTACATATAACTCTATTCCTCAGCAGATTTTTGTCCTCCCTTAGAGGCCAAAGTCCTTTTAGATTTTCTCTTGCCAAGTTTAGCTACCTCATAAATGATTTTCTGTCCCAAGCTGCTGTTAGAGTTCATAGGAAAGGTAACTTTTAAAAATCATAATTGTTGGAGTCAGATGAAAATATTGCTTGTGATAGATAGGCATGGTTGTGGTTTTACTGGGTTGGATAGGAAGTTCTATGTGCTTACTCCCCATTAGATGGGGTTCTCGAATGATAAACTTGCCCTTAAATTTTGGAATCATTAACAAATATTTCTGCACAATGATCAAAGCTTAAATGGAGGTTAAGATAAAGAATACAGAGTACAGAATAGGCACTTAAAATCAGTTCATACATTCATTTATAATTCATACTGTGTCTATCCAGAAAGAGTTGGATGTGGTTTATAATAAAAGACGGACATGGGACACAACGTGTAGAATTAGGGCAAGAAGACAGGAGCTAAATAAAGAGAAGAGCATTAATTCAAAATTCCTAACCTATGGGCTACTACAGGTTTTGAACAATACTTCTACATGAAGATGCAACAGGTTACATCGTTCTTATTAAATAACAA